ATGTTGAAAATTAATTTAAAAAAAGTTGTGCATATTATTGTACATTATGTTATATTATATACCTTATATACCATAAAAGTCACACAACAAATTCCAAAATAAATAGTTTTTTTTAATTGACAATTGATAAAGGCTATTGTCGAAAAAAAATATCTAAAATAGCAAGAAAAAGAATACTTATACATAGCAATTATTCGATCTACGATGTTCTGTTGTATATATATATATGTATAAAGTTAGATAGATGGGTGCGGAGGAAACTTAGACGGATAATAATGAAATTCAAAAGAGAGCAAAGTATGGCGAAGATAAAAACAATAATATAATGCAAGTATATGAATAAACAAAAATACACCACATAAAATTCAAATGATTGGGGTGGCTCTGTAATGTAGCTATGTAGGAAAAAGTAAAAGAAACTATTAAACTATTATAACTATGTATACTAAAATCATTATACTCTATACCCCTATGGTCTATTGTACAATTGTCTATTTGTATTACTTTTACTTAGTACAATTTCTCTTGCATATTTGCATTCTTTTTAAACTATAAATAATCTTTACCTATGAATGGCATAACTTTCTAATACCTACTTTTATTTGTCAAGTCAATTTAAGTTATCATATTCCGTGGGCAAATCAACAATGCATTTAACATAATGATAGATAGCATTTACAATGATTAAAATTTAATGAATAAAATAGTAGCTTTCGTAAAAATGTGAAGGATATTACTACAAATTCAACTTTTAGAAGTTGTCCTTGTATAAATTTACTAATTTTAAAATAAAAAATTAAATAAACAAATCATATATAAGTGTGTAAATATTACTTAAAATGGTTATAAATCGATCTGCTTATAAATAGCTTACCAAAATTTAGATATGTTTTATATTTTTCGTATAAATGAGATAAAAGTCGCTTATCGCAGACTGAGCGGAACAATAATGTAGTTAAGTCGACTTATTTAAGTAATCATATATATATATATATATATATATATATATATATATATATATAAGCGAGGTTCCTACAGCCTCTGCCGTTTCTCGCATTTCGACCGCCATCGTTTTCTGTCCATCCATTCGTCTTCTCTGATGGCTCTATCTCTCATTATGTGCCGTACATTTTCTTCCCAGGCAACTGAAGGCCTTCCCCTTCTTCTTCTTTGTTGTGGTATGTAATTTAAAGCTTTCTTTGGCCATCTATCTTCATTCATTCGTTTCACGTGACCATACCACACTAGTTGTCTCGTTTCAATTCTATCTACACTGGAATATACAGTATTTGTCCTCCTTCTAATATCTTCATTCCTGATGTGATCTTTTTTGGATATACCACACGCTCTCCTTAGAAAATCCATTTCTACTACTTCTATTCTTTTTCTATCCTTCTGCGTTATCTACCAAACCTCTGCCCCATAAGTCATAATAGGTTCTACCAAGGTTCGATAGATTGTCAATTTAAGTAATCATAAATAGCCAATTTTTGTATAAGCTAACTCTTATTTTCTTCAATTCCTTTCTGTATCGAGTAAAATTTTCATTATTATTGGTAAGCATATTGTTTAAGGGTAGCATTGGTTAGTATGTTAACGTTAACAAATTAAATTGTACTGACGGTGTAAGACAGTTTCGAAGATGATTAGATCGTAAACTAACAGAATCCCCCCAGAAGTGAAGCACTGAACTTAACACAAATTGAGAGGTTATAAGATCCGGGCTGCAAAAGACCGCAGATCAAAAGTTGGGTGATTAACAGAAGGACTAGGAACAATGTTGAAGAAGATCGAGTAAAAAGGAGAGAGGAAAAAAAACCACAAACAGAAAACGCGACAATGAAAAAAAAATGAAAAAATGGAAAAATTAAATAGAGAACACGAGCACAATAAATTTTACAAATAAGTTAACATAAAAAGAAAAGATATATAGAAAAAATTATAGAATTTCCCGCATACCTTCCACTAATTTCCAGTATTTTCTGTCGCCGCTTTGTAAGTCTTCATCCACTCAGCTGCTCTATGTTAGTCTCTAGACAGAAAGGTTAGTACGTTAACTCGTCTCCAAATTATAAGCAAATGCAGATTGAGAGTCCGCGCGCGAGTACTTCTGTAACTAACATAAGTTTTATATTTATTGGAGTATTTAATTAACAAAAGGTAAAATCATATTTTTTTCAACATATATTATTCTAGTTAGTAAATTAATCTTTTTTCTGCATAATCTTACAATCAAACTAAAATCTTTTTATAAATAAATAATCTTTGCAAATAATTAGAAAGTTACGAATCAGAGTAGAACCGCCTTTAAAAATTGATATGTGAAGCATTATTAGATAATAAATAAGCAGAACCTTTCTATCATGATGATGATCATCAAGTAAAAGATTATATAGAAGAAAGAAGTGATAATTCAGAGAGCGAACAAGATATTGTGGATATTGAAATGGAAGCATCTCCTGCCACAGAAGCAGTTTTTATAGGCAAAAACAAATCTAAGTGAAAAAAAAAGAAGCACCATCAAAGATTGTTTAAACCAGATCTGTAAATTTATTGAAACATTTACCTGGTCTCAAAAACTTGCACTATCACCTACGAACATGTGCAAGCTTCAATAACTCTTTGGATTGTTGTACTTAGCCAGCGTCTTAAAATCAAGTCGCTTATACCCCCTTTGTATGCAGCTCACTTCCGCGTCAGTGAGCGGGAACTGAGCAGGGAAGTTGGCAGCTTGAGTATGTAAATTCGTCTCTCGCGCTGCCATTACTCATGCTAATGCCGCTGTCGTACGCTCCCTTCGTTGGCGGTTTTTTTTTAACGGAAATCAAAGGATTTGCAGTGCGAGTGACAGAGACTGTTTACATGCTCCTCGCTGTCTTATCGGTGCATGGAGTTATTTATTTATTGTTTGGTAAATGTTTCGTTAACTATGGTTGAGCGGAGTAATGACCAAGTGCTGAAGTTTTTAGAGCTATATGTTAGTGAGAAATTGTTATGGGATTCTTCACATAAAGACCACAAAAAAAGCACAATGTACCCGATGCGGTTTGTCCTGTAAATTTAAATTAGGTTCTTTTAAACGATATTAATTGCTTTACAAACTTCCGCCACAATCAGCGAAGTTGCTGATGATAATACTTTAAATAAATAATGCAAACTTTGGTAACTGTCTCCAGTGGGCAAATATCGTAATGGCATTACCAAACGTATTTTTGATGGTAATGGAATTCTTACTTTAGTCTGTTTTTATCATGGGCTCAATTTTCTGAAACAAAAATTCAAAATCTATGCGTGACATTCCGCAAAAGTTAAAAAATTCGATGGATTCCTTATAAGTCAATTGAAAAAGTTGATATTTCCCATGTAAAAAATGTTTGAAGCCATTTTCAGATTATTATCCAAATAAAAGACTCTTTCGACATCGACGTTTGTTTTCTACCTCATTTATTTTTAGAACGTTAAGATAATTTTGTAAATTTCTATGCCCTCCATTGCTGATGGTACACTATTGCAGCACTGTGGTAGCTGTATGTAAATAGTCATTTGCCCTAAACGCTGCCGTGGAATTATTTCGGACAGGGCAGTGGGCAACGCGAGCAATGGCTGCATGTAAAGGAGATATTCAATTTACGAGACATACAATACTCAAGGAACAGGGGTGGAGTTATTTCCACTTGTATGTCTCTAAACTGGTTTCAATTTCTTTTAAGGCACTTAAAATTCGACAATTCTGAAACTCGCGAAAGAACGCAAAAATCTGGACAAGTTAGCATGCATACGGAAAATATTTGATGCCTTCGTTACCAAATGCAAAACTGCTTACAGTCTTTTATTTGGTAACAGTGGATGAGAAACTGGAAGCGTTTCGATGACGTTGCTCATTTAGGTATTGCAAATAAACTCAATATATATGAGGTTAAAATATTCACCCTAGTTGATGCTAAGTGTTACTTTATTTCAAAGTAGTTATTTTACTCTCTTGAAGTCTATGTAGAGCAGCAACCTGATGGCCCTTATGCTGTGAGTAACTCTCCGAAAAAGCTGACGTTAGTTGGTACAATTCGTAAAAACAAAACCGAATTACCACCTGAGTTTGTCACCCTCAAAGTCTCGGTTAGCTAACAGTAGTTTATTTGGCTTTCGACAAAATGCCTCTTGTGTCTTACAAACCCAAGCTAAATAAAAACGTCCTACTGTTATCCAGTCTTCATTATGATAATAAAATAGATGAAGTAAAACGTTAACTCGAAATCAAAAAGGGGTGTTTATACCGTGGACAAGCTGTGTGCTGCCTATACCACTCCAAGAAATACCAGGAGATGGCAATGGTAGGTTTCTATTCGATGCTAAATATTGCAGGTATTAATGCACATGTCATTTTTCATTGCAAGATTTCCGAAAATGTAACCAGCAGAAGATTTTTTTTACAAAGTTTAGCTAGACAATTAGTTGATAATCCTTCGTGCTCGTGCTACTCTTTCTTGTTTGCCATCATCAGTGAAATTAAGAATTACAGAAATAGTTGAATCTAAATATCCACTACCGCCTTCAACTGGTAATATTGGCCAACAAAGAGGACACTGCAGTTACTGTGACAGTGGAAAATATATGTGTTTACAACATTGCACAAATAGTTGTAATAATGTGTATAACATGCAAAATAATTAATAAATAAGTGTTTGTAATTGTAGTTCATTTTATTTTATTAGAAGAATTTTTTAGTCCGTCTCATACTTGCTATTTCAATATGCGGACTCACAGTCCGCCGCGTGTACCGATGCACCTTTTTGAGGCGCGTGTACTGAAAGGTTAACAGTTGTTACATTTTACCAGGTGGCTCAATAATTTGATCACTCACTGTATACATAAACGGTATTTTGTAATATGACAACGACGCGTATGATAGTCCAGACTGATATAATTAATAGTGCACGTTATCGCAGTTCAAGGTCATAAAAACAAAAGTTGATCTTACGCATTAGCCACTGGCGACAAAAAATCATTATAGCACTTTAGTAATTTACAAAAATACCCATTTATCAACACCAAAAGTTTCTTTTGTATGTATAGTTCTTAATAGTGTTAGTTATTGGTTTTCAAGACAAAATCTCGTGTTATAGGTACTTTGGTAGATAACAACTTTTTTCTTTATATATATGTTGCATGGTTTTTTTTATTTTTGGTTCCTTATACTAATACTAGGTATAAGGTCTATTACTTTGGCACTTCCTACTATACGAGCAAGAAGTACTATATGTATCATAGTTGTAATAGAAATTCCCTTTTTCTAAAGAGTTTTTTGATACAGCAACCGACGCGGAAACCCACTGTGGCGTCATGTCTGTGCATTTCCCAGTTAAGATATAATAATTTATACTAATATATAATATATATAAGTTATAATTAAAATGTGTAGGTAATGTTTAGTTTCTGATCAATAATAATATAATAAATATACGGAGTAAGTGACTCATTTTACTTGGAAAAGTGACTAAGTTTAGTAATATTTTTAAGAAATATTTTTGAAAAATGGGTGTATATTATATTTATAATATATTATATTCTTTTATGTAAGAATCGAAAGATGTACTTCATACGCTGAAAATTTAAATGATTTTTTTGTTATTTGGGTTTAACTATATTGTGGAACCGAATGAAAGAAATCGACATATCTGAATGATTTTAACGTATATTTTCTACATTTTATAATATAGTTGATTTGCTGTATCTTCTTCCTGACTCCAGCGAGAGTCGGTAGTTAGGGATGAATCCTTTCTTCTGTCCTGTCATTAAAATCCATCTAGAAATCCTGCGCTCTTGATAAAAACCAGAAACTGTGTTATGAGAATCTTAATCCTGGATCAATACGTATTTTGACGGTGCATATCCATCTTAGCATATAATTTTTACAAAGGACATTATGGCCGTTGTTTTTCATATTGTATAGGTGTGTCCCCAATTGACAGTGGCTAGTCACCATATCTGCGACTATATTCAACACTGGTCTGTTAAGATCCATTAGACTAGCTAAAAGCTTCCTTACAGGAAGCGTTTATGATTTTCTTTAGCATTATATCAGCAGTAATACATTGGTTAGTGATCAGTGTATGCATTAGTAGTGTCTAGGGGTCTAGGATCATAAACATCATTCATTTCTTCGTGGTAATCTTTACTGGATTTTGAAACGAACTCAACTAAACCATTCTTCACAAAACCATGTTCCCTAATGTGCGCCATTATTAATCTTCCACCCTTTCCTGCGGGATCATTGAGGCCAGTAGAATATCCTTCTAGAAAGGCTTATCGAGGACTTGTTTTTTTATCTACCTATACTTTTGAAACAATATGATTGTCATTTAAATGTTAAATCCTTTTATCGTTCTCAAATATTCCCTTCACCAACAAACAATATCAAATAATAACAATTAGGATTTTTTTTGGATTGTTAATCCGGTTTCTTTCCGTAATTTCGATAACTTATCTCTGTCAAAGTTTATTATCTCCTTATTGCCTTTAATATTGTATCCAATGTTTAAATATACTCCTTGTTTAAATAGAACAAATGAATTTTTCTCGTAAGGAAGTTGTTTTCCTCTACGTCTTTTTGGCTCAGTAATGTTTCCTTGTTTTCTTGCTCTTAAAAATCTATAAATGGTTCTAAAAATCTAAAAGGGGGTGACAGGCTTATCGAATTTTGCCAAAACAATAATTTTTTTAGCTAATACATTGTTCAAAATGCCAAAGAGAAGATTATATACCTGGAAGTCACCAGCAGATCAAGAAGAGAGAATTGTAAGAAACCATATATACCATGTATTAGTTAGATAAAGAAACAGGAAAGCAATTATATCCGCAAAAACCTATCCAAGTGCCAAAATAGGATCAGATCACATCCCAGTAGTGACCAAAATTAGGCTCAAAATGAAAATAATAAAACGAAGAAAAACAGATGCAAAAATCGATACAAGTAAATTAAGACATCCACTCATAAGACAACGCCTGGCAGATGAAATTAACAACGGATTAATGAATGCTAAAGAACAAATTGTGCAAAATACTGAGACAGAGAAAAAATCGTTATTAATAAAGGCAGAAATAGATAAAAGTCAAAAAGAAATTCTAATACCAACCAGAAATAAAAAGAAGCAATGGATGACGGAAGAAATTTTAGATTTATTAGAAGAAAGACACGTCAATATAGAAACAAAGATAATCAGATGTACAAAATAGTGGATAAACAAATAAAATACAGAATTAAGAAAGCGAGAGAGCAGTGGTTAAAAGGACAATGCGCAGAAATAGAAGAATACCAGACAAGACATGATAGTTTTAACACACATAAAAAAATTAAAGAAGTAACTCACAACAATAGAACAAGAAAACCGGAAATACTGAAAGATGCAAATGGGAGACTTGTGTTGAATATCTACTAATGAAAGACAATAAAACAGAACAGATGGAGATAGAAGTAGAAGAGGATATGGTTTTAAAGATATTAAAAGAGGAAATTAAAATGGCATTAAAAAACAGCGAAAATGGTAAAGCATTAGGTCCAGACCAAATTCCTATAGAAATCTTAAAATTCATTAATGGTGAAACCTTAGACATTATAGTAGACTTATTTTACTCAGTATACAAAACAGAATACACACCGAAACAGTGGTTACTCTTCACCTTTTGTGTTATCCCTGAAAATACAAACGCTAAATTAATATTGCAGTGAATACAGAACAATATCACTAATAAGTCGCATTCTCAAATTATTCCTGAAAATAATACATTGTCGTATAATTAAAAAACTGGAATAAGGAATAGATGATAGTCAGTTTGGGTTCAGAAACGGACTAGGAACCAGAGAAGCGTTATTTGCTTTTAATGTGTTAGCTCAAAGATGCATGGATATGAATGTTGATGTGCATGTTTGTTACGTTGATTTTGAAAAATCATTTGACAAAGTAGGACATGAAAAATTAGTCCAAATTCTAAAGGCAAAAGCATAGACCATAGGGACTTACGAATAATAACAAACCTTACTGGAATCAATGAGCACAAATCGTAATAGATAACGAACCCAGTCCAGAAATTGAAATCAGGAGAGGAGTTAGGCAGGGATGTATTATGACCCCATTACTATATAATGTATATAGTGAAGCCATTCTTGAAGAAGCATTACTACCTCAAAGTGAAGGAATAATAATTAACGGAAGATCTATTAACAACATAAGATGTGCAGATGACACCGTGATTATGGCAAGCTCTACTGAACAACTCCAATTACTGCTAGACAAAACAAACAGTTTTTGTGAAAAATATGGACTAAAAATTAATATAAAAAAGACCAAATAAATGATAATAACAAAGAAAACAAAGATACCAACAAACATACATTTGGGAAATTTACCGACAGAAAGGGTTGATAAATACCTAGGAAGCTGGATTTCAGACAATAATGATCAAACAACCGAAATAAGAGCAAAGATAGAAATAGCAAGAAATGCGTTTGTAAAATGAAAACAATTCTCTGCAACAAAGATCTTAGATTAGAACTGAGAGTAAGAGCACTGAGATGCTACGTGTTTTGCTACTGCAATATGGACTTGAAAGCTGGACATTGAAGCAAGAATACGTAAATAAGTTACAGTCCTTTGAAATGTGGTGTTACAAGAGGATGCTTAGAATAGCATGGACACAGAAGAAAACTACCACTGAAGTATTGCGAGAAATGGGCAAAGAATGCGAAATAATAAACACAATAAAAATAAGAAAGATATCTGGTACACGTAATGAGGGGACAGCGGTATGAACTGCTAAGGCTAATGATATAGGGAAAGATAAGAGGAGGAAAGAGTATATCCTCCTAGAGATGATCTTAATACGAAGAAAACAAAGTACGTGGTAGTCAGTAAGCGCGAACTATTAAATACACAGCTTTTGGTTAACCAACATCCAATTGACAGAGTGGACAGCTACACATACCTTGGTACCAACATTAACAGCCAATGGGATCACTCCAGTGAAATAAAACAACGCATAGGAAAAGCGAGATCAGCGTTCATAATGATGAAGTCTCTTTTCAGAAGTTATGATTTACCACTTGCTACCAAAATCTCTCTCATTAGATGCTATGTATTTTCTACCTTATTATACGGAGTAGAGGCCTGGACACTTTCCAAAGCTTCCTTAAGAAAACTCGAGGTATTAGATATACGTATCTTAAGTATTTCATGGGTGGATCGTGTGACTAATGTTGAGGTCCTACGTAGAATAGGCAAGGAATGAGAGATTATTAACACCATCAAAGAGCGCAAACTAGAATATCTTGGCCATGTTATGAGGAATTAACAGAGATACGGCTTGTTGCAACTCATTCTTCAGGACAAGGTATTTGGAAAGAGAGGACCAGGGAGAAGAAGAATATCTTGGCTTCAAAACCTGAGAAAACGGTTTAATACATCGACAACCTGACTATTCAGAATAGCAGCAAGCAAAGTTAGGATAGCCATGTTGATCGCCAACATCCGGAACGGATAGACACCGTCAGAAGAAGAAGAAGGTTTAAATGCAGTTCTATAGAACTCTTCAGAGCAGCAGTAGACAAAGTAAAGATAGTGATGATGATATCCAAACTCCGATTGGGAGACGGCACTTAAAGAAGAAGAAAACACCGGTTATATCGGAGTACATAGTCACTACATTTTTAACCGTTGTTAAAGGTTGTTGATGAACAAAGGAGTCATAAATAATTAACACAACAGTTTTTTCTCTTAAACAATACGAACCGTTAAAACGATGATTCCATTTTAATGCATGTACGGTTTCAAATTCGTCACAAATTTCCCTTACGCCCGCCGCGAATTTGGACGGTCGATAAAAGTTCGGTCGAACAAATTCTTTTGGTGGCGCGAAGAAACAAATGTGAGCGAGCACACACATCGATCGTCAAACGGCACGGCATCGATGTCGTGTGATGGTCGTGTGGCGATCGATGAATGTCACTGCATTCACGGCTGTGACTACGTGGTTCTGTGTTGCTCATTGTGGTTTTGTGTACTCCACCTAACAAACCTTTGTGGATTAAAAAACGACATCGAATAAATATCGTGTAGTGTGCGCGCAAGGCATCATCGACAAAAGTTCGGTCGAACTTTTATCGACCGTCCATATTCGATGTGTATGCGCCTAGCCTTACACGGTCAACAGGTAGGCAGGTACCCCAAAGATAATTTGTCAAATTCGTCAGTCATTAATATAGGATTATCCCCTAGCGAAACAAAGTATTCTATGAATGTAATAGTATAGATATGCATTATAAATCCAAAAATAGTACTACTGTTAAAAGAGAGAAGTTGCTTCATGAAAAAATTAAAGAGTGGAAAGAAAATACAGGTAATTATCTGTCTAACAACAACTTTTACAAAATTGGTGCTTTCTATTTTCTTGTTAGTATTAGTGTTAAAGTGTATGCAACCAAACAAATGAATCCATGACTCATAATTAAAAACACTTTCAACTACATCCGTACGGCAATAGTTTATGACCTTGGCGGTAACCCTTAACTTCTATTTTCATTTTCATTTTTGTAATGAGCTACCCGTTGCAAAAACAAATAAATTTTACTTTTACTAGAATACGATCGTGTCTGATCGGCCTATGGTGAACCAGTACGGCAAGAGATAACTGCTTGCGACTTCATGATACTCCTCCATTAATCTCTTTAATTTCATGAACTTAAAAACTTTCGTACAAGCTTTTATTTTAATTTTTAATGCGTATATATTTTTATTATGAACAAAATATTCAGTAAAAGTTTTTATTTTAGAAGATGAAGATCTTAGCACCCCTTATCTTATTATGCACACTATACTATCACAGCAGTTTGGCTAGAGATGACGGATTTCGTGGTATTATTTCTCCAACAAACCAAAAAATGTATGGACAAGCCTTAGAAGCCATCTTTACTGTGGGTTTTCGACTTCAAGATATTCTAAATATGTCAACTGAACAAAATTTAGTTGTTTCACCTCTCAGCACTGCAGCTATCATTGGGCAATTAATGATAGGAGCCGATGGTAAGTCACTATATATAATATAGCTGGTAGAAAGGTTTATTTGATGGTAAAATATAATTTTCTTTATTAATCCTTGTTAATATTAAAATATATCCCAATTATTTTATTATAAAGACTTAATCATATTTTTCTGTTGCTGAGTTGTCTGTGAAAGATTGCAAAAACCACAAAATACGCATGGTATCTCATATATGACAAAGAATTTAGGAAAATTTAGGTCTATATCCAGTATCTCCTATTATTTTGTAACTTTTCTATCTTGAAATAACGTTACTTAAATCAGCTGACAATACACAAAGGAAAAGTACTTACAATAACTTACTTACAATGTGTAAACTCTTCAATACACGTGAGGCTCCATACTTAGCTGAGTGAACACATATTTGAATTAACCCTGGACCACGTTTGGAGCTAACTTAACTTTAACGTTGGACTAACGTTGGGTTTATATTTGAAATTAATTTTGGACAATCTTTGGACTTATCTCTGAATTGACTTAGAACTTAGAACTAACTTAGGAATTAACTCTTAACCACAATTGGATTATCCTACTCAGCTGAAAATGAATTTAGATCAACAATACATTCCTTTTTATAGAAAAATATCTACAGAGAGAAATACCGTTACTTTGGTGTGTGGTCAAAATTGGTCAATGATCTCATTACTGCTGCTGTCTTGAAGCATCTTCCGGTATATGAAGTGAAAATATTACATTAATTGTGTAATGAAATTTGGCACACAGACGTCTGGTTTGGGGATTGGAGAAAGACCATAATCATACCACTACATAGCAAAGGTTCAACAAATAATTGTTATTACAATAGACTACTAGCTCTATTATCACACGAAAGTAAAGTGATCCCCTTCATCCTACATAAGTTGGTAACTACCACCTGAGCAGGCTGAATTTGTGAAGAGCAGAGGTACTAGAGAACAAATCCTTAATATAAGAAACATCATTGAAAAAGCCAGAGAATGTCAGATCCCTATATCTATATCCATAGTCCATAATGCGTAGAGTCTTAGATGGTTGGGTTGGATGAAGGAATAAACCTAGGCGGTGTCAAGACATTTAAGCGTTTCGCAGATGACACTAAAATTCTACTCGACTCAAGACAGTTGGTCTGTGTCGTTTTAAATGACAAGAACCACGTGTTCAAACCGAGCAAGGAGACATGTAGCTCCTCAAGTATTAATTTTTATCCAATGACATCGACCTAGAGTCACAGTATAATTTAAATTTAGAATAATGTAAAACCATATATGGATGTCACAGCTACAAATTTAATGTTAGCTTAAATTACATAAGAAGGCACTGAAGATGATCTGATTAGATCGAAAACGTCACGTTATTCTACTGTATAAATTTTGACGACACTATTTAAAGGTTTTAACTATATGTCTTTTATAACTAAATACAAATGTAAAGTGTTTTAACTTGTGTATAAGTAATTTTAAAGTTCTTTGGTCATATCCATCGAAGTGATCATAAAATGGAGCGGGTGGGGGTCGAAGAAATGCCTCAGTGTCAACGCCAACGCGGCAGATTTTCACAGCGATGAACAGACATAACGAACAAGCTTCTCCACAAGAAGTATACATTACATGTAACAAATAACCGTGACCAATGGAGAAGTATCATTGATCAGACTATCCGAACTGCTGAAGCTTATTGTTAAACCACAACACATCTGCCAAGATGTTAATGACTAGGATGATGATAGAAGTGGTCCTTAACGAAATATTTCTCGGCACTTTCTGGGAGATTATCTACTATATTTTCAAATAAAAAACCACTGATAAGAGCGGAGTGGCAGTTCTAACCGGAAATTATAGCACCCAAGCGGTAGATTCATAAAAAGGTTTGCTGAAGGTAGATCATTATTAATCGGTTGAACGGATGTTTTATTAGAATGGTTTTCGCGACCGTAAATTATTTCGTGAGAAAATCTTACTGAAAGTAAACTGGATGTACATGGTAAAATAAAATTTAATAAAATAACGAAAATTTTGACAGGTTGTAACGTATCCATATCGAATTCCAAAAGAATAAAAGACATAACATAAACCACACATAAGGAGGTTTGGTTTTTGTTTATTTTAATCGAATTTTATTTTGTAGGTGAATTTAGAGAAGATCTTCACGACCTCCTTGGTCTCCCTCCTTCTTCAGCTTCATTTAACGTAACCTATTTTAGTAAAGAAAGAAACGAAAGTATAATCCTACCTTACGCTACGTTCCACATGCAATTGGCAATTTTAATAAAAAATCTGAGACAACGAAAACCAGGTGAAGAATTTGTCTTAAATCTGGCAAATGCAATGTTTTACAACAGAGATATTGATTTAAGAACTGTATTTACTAGTAGTCTCAATAAAATGTACGATGCGGATATTGAGCCATTAGATTTTACAAAAGATACAACTAGGTAAGTATTTTTTCAACTGTACAAACAATAAAACTTTATTAAAACAATGTTTCGTTTAGAATTGTTAACTATTTGTATTTTTTATATTATTCAAGAATATAATAAGGTGCGTTAAACAATTAAGGGACATGTGTACAAAATGGCTTTAGTTTTGTTTTTGTATTAAAACTGTTTATGGGTAGTTCATAGCATATCCATAGCTTACATTAATAATTTTTGGACCTTAAATTATCAAAACTAATAAACAATTTTAGCAAACAAAATATAAAAAAAAAACAAAAAATTAACTGAGATCAATCATAATCTATTTTCTCCATATATTTTGGACAAAATGGTATCTTGCTAACGGACAAAAAGCTACAAAATTATTATAATTCACAAATAAAATGCTTGGTTATTTTTGGAACATCTTCTAGATCGGAGTTTGTTGTTAAAACGTTAGATAAATTTTCAGGTTGTGTGTCGGTAAGTGCTGTTATTTTGGTTGCATTATTTTCTTCAGATATTGTATATCATAGCTGAACGAGAGTTAACGCATCAGGTACAGCAGCATGAGACGTATTTGACAAAATCTGCTTGTTGTGAAGGTTGTGTCAAAACATGTTCAGAGTCCACAGAGCTCATTAATGTTCCAAGCTAAGGAAGTTGTTCATTGCAGTTGTCTTCTACCAGTATGTTTGTGATTTCAGCAAGCAAGTATATATAATCCGAAAAAATATCAGGATGCATTTTACATGCGGGCCCGCGTAGCGCAAGCGGTAGTGTGCTTGCCTCGCATGCCGGTGGTCGTGAGTTCGAATCCTACCGCCGGCAAGAACAACTAGGCATTTTTAAAATGTCTATAGGCCCCAGGTCGACTCAGCCTGAATAAAATGAGTACCTTGGGTAAAACCAGGGGTAATAATAGGCGGTTGAAGCGTAGCACTGGCCATGTTACCTTCCTTGTATACCGTAGGCCCTAGATATAGCAGACTACCCTGCTATACTCCCAAAGCCGCGTGCGGTATAAAACGGGAGACTATTATTATATTTTACATCGTACCTGTCTTGCTCTATGCTTCCTTGAACAAGCCAGTGATATGAAGATGCCTAACAACACGTACAGGATGTGCCTTCAGCTATTTTGCAGTCAGGCTATTTTTTAGCCATAGTAGATATTCAAATTCCCAAAAAGGAGAAGTCAAGAGGTTGCATACGATGAGTGCAATGTGGAGGCAGACAAATAACATAAATACCGTTTTTTTTTTGGATATAATATAAAATAATATAATATAATATAATATAATATAATATAATATAATATAATATATTATAATATAATATAATATAATATAATATAATATAATATAATATAATATAATATAATATAATATAATATAATATAATATAATATAATATAATATAATATAATATAATATAATATAATATAATATAATATAATATAATATAATATAATATAATATAATGTTACAACAGTATTAGGATAACAACCAACAGTGATGTTTGCTCTACCGCACTAGGCACTGGTTTCTACAACTTATTTCATTCCCGTGATAGCTAAAATATTTTCAGGTTTTTGTCAGCATCAACATCAGCATCATATATACGGTGCGATCTACAGCCAATATATTATAGCAAACTTCTATACAACTGATAAAACTTTTGGACTTGCAGCCAAATATAAGGTTGAGCGCCAGCTGCTGAACTGGCTTTTGGTTTGGGCAAAGACATATCTTTATTACGTTTTAGAAATCTATCCAACCATCTTTGTCTTGCCGTTTGCTTTTGAATGATAAATGTTTCCCAGCGTAAGAAAAGCTGATGCTTACTGATGACCTAACCTAACCTAACCAGCATATTTTCGTATCTCAAACTACCTCAATGTCTTTCTTTATGGACTGCGTACTTCTATTTTGATGTCTGAAAAAAATATCTATCCGCATCTAACACAAAAGCTAAAGCTATGAACAAAATTCCATACCTATGCTATTTTGTCCATTACATAAGTATGTTGTTTTGTTTCTAGAGCGTTTTTAAACAATAAAATTAGCAAATAAATATATAAAGCGCTCTTTTTCAAAAAATAAGTTGTTTGGTTTAATGTAGTAGAAGTCTTTAGGATTTACGAGTATGTAATAGAAGTCTTTACACTTATCCGAGATACGATTTTTTAAAGTTTGCCACTCACACCATTTGTGGGCCATTTTCTCTATTTTTTCTCAAAAATTGTTCTATAACTCTTTTCTACGCAATCTTAGGTAAGTATATTCAATGATACATTAAATTCACTTTCAGCAAGATACAGTTCAAAGTTTCCTACTTTTAAAGATTTTTGCTATTTACGACCAAATGAAAAAATTGATATCGAATTTTTACCGTAGAGTTGATACAAATTTTATTTAAAAAATTGATTTCGCACGCGTAACACACTTAAAATCGCAAGTCGCTTTAAGCGTTGTTTCTGAGAGAACGGCTCATCTTACATAAAAGTGCTACTAACCATTCTTGTTAAACATAATCTCAGCTACATTTCTTGTTTAAACGTTTTTTTCTACGGCTTACTTGGTAAATCGTTTTTTTTTCGTTTTCCTTTTGCGAAAAATGGAAAATTGACAAAAACTATGAGTGACAAAAACTCTTCCACCAAACGTCATTTTGAAGAGTAAAGATAAAATTTTTTTATGTAAAGCAATACCTATATCCTCGTAGAAAAAAAATCGTGTGTGTTCCAGTTTTTTTTTGCCTCGGTTTTTGAATATTTTTTGTCAAAAAAACTATTTTTGATTACTTAAAATGTGAAATTTCGATTGAAAAATTAATTTAAATTAATTTTAAACAACTTTCTTGTAGCTGTATATGTACAAAAACTACATAGAATTCAACCAAATACAGCCTAGTGGAGGCAGAGGCAAATTCACTCCTTTCTCAAAAACTCACCTCTTTAAATGCGATTTTTTCATATTTGGGACTTGATTGACTATATGAAACAATGAAACTCCTTTAACGTTGTAGTTCCTTTTAGCCCTGTTTTTTTTTTTAACATTTTTTAAACACGTATTTTTTTAACTTTAAAGCGAGGAAAAGAGGTCTAGAACGAAAAAAATAACCCAATATACATGTTTTAAAAAACTCAATAAAGGTAACATAAAAAATTGCACATTTGAGAAAATCTGATACTTTAAGTACTTAGGAGTAATAGTAAGTTGAAGAAATGGAACACGTGTAGGAATAACAGAGTCGATATTAGCAGGCAACAAGAGCTACTGTACTTACTGTAGGTATCACAAACTAATGAAAGCTATGATATCCTTGCCTAAGCAGGAATAAATAAATGATAATATAATATATGCCAACTAGACCAGCACTCACACATGTAGTCGATATAATGTGTCTCACAAGTAAAGATAAAGAAATACTGAGATGATGGGACCAGAGTGTTTTTCTGCAATAATCAACCAAAAGGGCGATGAATAATGAATTTGTTGTTGATGTTAGTCCATACTGACTAATTGTTAACAAAAATTGGTACACTTACTTACAATTTAGATTTTTTAATATTGTAAATGCCGCAATTAATCGCCTCCTCTTTAGATTTCTTAGCTCCTCTTTTGAAGAATACAAGAAGAGAGAGAGACAATTATTCCTCCTGAAACGGACAGCCTTGACAATGCTGAATATATTATACATATTTTCAAGATTTAAGTGTACGGTTAAATCAATTTAATATTATTAATAGGTTCTAAGATGACTTAACAAAGTACAAATTGCACTTATTATTGACGTTTTTATGACTTTTTGCATCGATGTTATAATATAATCATTTTTTCAGAAGCACTAACGCTTTAGTTACTTAAGATGAAATAAGATTAATGATAAAGCATATAATTAAATCATATTCATTTAACATTTTGTTGTTGATGGTTGGAAAGAAGTGGTATTTCCGAAATAACACGTTTTCAATTTCAAAAGCGAGTCTGATTGTTAATGACAGACATAAAAACTCACTTAACTTATGTTTACGTAATTATTCTAACCGCATTATTTCTTTTAACTGTTAATTAAGCAAGTTGTAAAAAAACTACCATAATAAATAAATTACTTTTGAAGAACTAAAGAACAAAAGCGTCATCGATGATACAAAACACTACTTAATAAAGTTCGCCATTCAGATAAAAAATTCCTCTTTCTCTAATAGTAGTACGTAATTTATTCGTAATTCCAGTTATTGCGACGCTGACTGACAATTTTATAAAAGCTTGTAGGTCGTCGTTTGTGATTTCTGTGTTTTTCCCATTCATTTCTGGTTTTTAACCCTGCTTTATCGACGTTATATCTACTCTTACAATATCATGCCCGAATTCGACTCGCCACATCCTAATCTACCATTTCTCCCACTATGTCCTTTATTTTGTATCTATCTCAGATTCTCATAATAAACTTTCGTAAAGTTAGCAGTGGTCGTACATCTACTTTTATTTATTTACATCTAGGGATTTCCCAATAACGCAACTCAGCAATAAGGGCAATATCATTTTAAAGCCTTCTACTTTAAAATGTATAATATATATCTGAATTGGCAACATAAATGAGTCAAATAAAATTAAATAATTAGAAGAATTTTTGACCAAGTAACAAAAAACAATTTTATTCAATTTATTAGTTTGTATTTTGAGAATGATTTTCGAAATGGAAATTAAACCGGCAATTAGTTTACTTTAACACTCAATTGTTGCTTATCCTTATGAAAATAGTAATTACTTTAAAATGCCACAAGAAAATAGCTTCAGAACAATCTACTTTATACATTCAGATGCAAAAGCTTAGGTTTATAAAAAACTCATATTTATAAATCTATAGATACGTTTGATTATCATATGGTAACTCATCAAATTGATCCAATTCATCCCACATTGCACAGAGCGCCGCACTAAGCTTAGCTAAGCTGTTATTAGATCTGCTTAAATTTTACCAATATGTCCCATAAATGTTGCCATTTGGCCAATTCATTATCATTATCAAAGCATATTGTCGTCTCAAAAATAAAATTAGACCCTTTGATTAGTGCATGATGATCTAAAATGATTGTCTAAAACATTGCTCTTGTCATCAAAATCTCCATCTACAATAACAAAGTCAGTACGAGCATTCTCGACTTATACTAGCCCATAGCATAACTGGTCTTCTTGATAGCTTAGTCTTTTCGCAATACAGCATTCCGCAAATCGCTCTCCTTGCCTTCTGCAAATCTTTACCACAATCTTTTGCGACCGTATGAAACTTGGACTCTTTCAAGTGATTAGAGTAACAATACTTATTCCAGTCTGGATCAGGTCAGTTTTCGTAATCGCTTGCAAATGCAAGTCAACCTACAGAATATTCTACGTCTAGCAATGTCTAAAACGTTGGTCTTGTCATAAAATCTCCATCTACAATAGCGTAGTTAGTACGGGCGTTCGCAACTTATAACAGCCCAGATCATAACTAAACTTCTTGATAGCCTAGTATTTTTGCAGCAGTGCATTCCGCAAATTGCACATCTTGTCTTCTCTACACTCTTTTGCGACTATATGGAACCCTAACAAAACTTGAATTCTTTGGAATGATTGGAGTAATAATACTTATTCCAATCTGGATCAGGTCAGTTTCCGTAATCGCTTGCAGAAGCAAGTCAACCTATATAATATTGTACGTCTAGCAATGAATATAGATCCATAGCCATATGTTGATCATTATATGGTAACTAATCAAGTTGATCCAGTTCGTCCCACATTGCCCAAAAATGCGTGAATTTTACCAATATGTCGCATAGATCTAGCTATATGTAACCTATGCACTATCAATAGCGAAACGTCGTATCATTTCTAAAAATAAAATTAGACTATATGATTGGCTTATGATCAACTAAGATGGTTGTCTAAAACGTTGGTTTTGTCATAAAATCTCCATCTACAATAACGTAGTTCGTACGGGCGTTCGCAACTTATAACAGCCCAGATCATAACTAAACTTCTTGATAGCTTAGTATTTTTGCAGCAATGCATTCCGCAAATTGCTCATCTTGTCTTCTCTACACTCTATTGCGACTATATGAAATGGAACCTTAACAAAACATAAATTCTTAGGAATGATTGGATTAACAATACTTATTTCAATCTGGATCAGGTCAGTTTCCATAATCGCTTGCAGATTATTAGAATAGATTAGAATACGTAGAATATTCTACGTCTAGCAATGGATATAGATCCATAGCTATATGTTGATAATCATATAGTAACTAATCAAGTTGATTGAATTCGTCCTACATTGCTTAAAGCTGCGTGAATTTTACATCCACTTACTGTAAAATCATTGTCAGGTGCCCCTGTTGCTATTCATTACTGTAGATTTTTTTATCTTGTAGCTCTTTTTCTGCAGCATTTTCTGGTCTCCTAATTATATGTTTTAATTTTTTCTTTGATCTCGCTGGACGATAGTAGCTTGTCTTGTAGTATATTGTTTCTTGTTTACAAATTTAAAGCGTTTTTGAAAACATTGTTAAAATGAGTGATATATAGGGAACTTTGTCTTCTCAATTGGCTCCTTGTTTAAAATCTTGATAGCTAGTTTTGTCAGTTTTATATGTTTCCTATTATCAGTATTTCCCATTGCTGTAATTGTTAGATTTTATAACTTAGTGGAATACGCACAAAATATGTTTCAGGTCTTAGAGTACAAAAGTCTACAAGTCAAACTCAATTGAAACATCGAGATTTTTTGTTCCTTTTTACATTTCAATTTTTTTTAAATTCTATTATAAACTTTATTGATTATTGATAAAAAAAATATATTAGTTAGCAATTTTAATGTTTGGATGCCTATGTAATCTAGGGCTAGATCTTTTATTGTTGCAGTTATTTTATATATTATCTTTTGTTTTTATATAAAAAAATGTGCACATTAACACATGCATTCTTTTCTTTTCAGAATAATTAACCAATGGGCATCGGAACGTACCAACGGCTTAATCAAGTCCTTTTTAAGTTCTCCTCCTCCCAGCAGTACTGCTTCCATGTTTCTTAATTCCATATACTTTTACGCAGAATGGGAAACGCCGTTTTCTGATGCATTGAATCACATGGATACATTTACAGTGAGTCCCTCACACAACGTCAGCGTTCTCTATATGGTAGGCAAACAGGAGGACGTACCCTATGTGGAAACGAAGCATTACAAGCTTGTTTGTTTACCGTACAAAAATAGAGAACTTGGAATGTATATTTTCCTCCCCAATATACATCATGAACACAAATACAATATAAGAAAGTTTTTGGCTAGTTTAGATCCAAAAGAGATTGTAGATTCTTTATTGAATATGAAAAATAGGTCAGTAGATGTAAAAATGCCAAAGTTACATTTAACTAACACAATCAGTTTGCTCAAACCCTTACAAAAGTATGCGACGTTTAAAAAATTTGAAGATAACAAAACTCGCCAAATAAACGGAAATAATTTAGATAATTTAGTTAATCAATTAAAGCAGTACGAAAATTTCACACGTCCGGTTTACACAGATATTTATTTGGATAACGCCGCTCGAGGTGTTAATCTGAAAGTTTCTGATATTTTCCAACAAACAATATTCTCCGTTAATGAAAAAGGTACGGAAGCTGCCTCCGTTACAGCAGGCACTACCTTTTACGAGGGAGGATCCAAAAGTTTATTTTTAGGTAGGCCATTTTCATTTTTCATCAGGCATGAAGAAACTCAGGCTATCATTTACTGGGGTACGATAACTAATCCCGAAAAACATTAAAGAAAGTATTATAATTTGTTTTTTGTATTGTAAGAACTTTTCTTTGTGAAAAGGTGACTGATACACTTGTTGCAAGGTGGTTTAATTTATTATAGTTATTTGTAATATTAATATTATTAAATGTTTAATTATAATTTTTTGTTTCTTTTTTTGCCTTTTTCAGAAAATCCTGGATATTCTCATTCTATATTCTTTTTACACAAGAATTTTTACTTGAAGTGATTTCAAATTTTTGAGGTGCTGGTGGTTTTATTTAGTATATTCCATTTTCATTCAATGCAAAATACTTTGGTATTTCATTCCTAATAATGGCGTCTCTGGTTGTCCATGCACTTTGTGGTAAAATCCTTACCTGTTTTATAATTAATATTCAGACGACAATGCGGAACAACTGATACGACCAAAATTCATCAACGGATTTTATAGATACAAAAAATCAATATAAAGAATATGGACAGAATCATTTCTCACTTACAGCAGACAAAGAAATAAAATTAGGGTTAATTAAAATAAAAATAAGATTAAAATTAACAAAATAAGAGGACTATAATCAGTATCAAAAGCTAATAGAATCTAGTTTTAGTAATATCGCAGAAACATGTTCATATAACATGCTTAAATCTAGAACCATGCCTAGTTAAACAAGATTTTCAAAATCACGGAAAATCTGAGAGGACAAAACTCAAAGAAAATATAACACTAGGAAATATCCGGTTAGAAAATCGGAGGCGCACTATAAAAAACTAATATGGGAACAAAGAACACAACTCTTAGTAGAAAAAGTCCAACATAAAGAAACAGTTGGTACCCAGATACATGAAATATTAATAACAAAAAGCTATAAAAGAGATCAACAAGAAGAAAGCGCCTTGGGCTGGATGTAGCACCTTTTAACTTTTCCTGTAGACTTGTTAATAAGCACACCCAAACACAAAATACACATATGCACATCTACACCATATTCATTGAGTAAAACCAAAGAATATAGACGCTTAAGCGTCTATATTCTTTGGTAAAACTTTAAACTGACTTATTAGGAGACACCCAACTCGTGGGAGGAGTTAAAAGAATGATATCACAAACATTCTACAGCATTATGTTTTACCGTTGATTGACTGTTTTACCTGGTGACGGCTAGTTTTGTATCAGCATACTGCATGCGACAGAGTTTTCTTCTTCAAGTGCCATCTCCGCGGCGGAAGTCGGAAATCATTACAGATATTGGGACTTTTGAGACGGCTGCTCTGAAAGGTTAATTTGATGTACATCCGTACCACTCTCTCAGGTTGCGCAGCCATGACATTCTACGCCTCTCTATGCTTCTCTTTCCTTGGATCTTTCCCTGCATAATCAGTTGGAGCAAGGTGTATTTCTCTCCACGTGTAATATGTCCGAGATATTCCAATTTTCTTGTTTTAATTGTATTTAAAATTTCTATTTCTTTATTCATCCTTCTCAGAACCTCTTTGTTTGTGACGTGTTCTGTCCACGATATTTTCAAAATTCTTGAAAATATGGTGAATACTCACCAAAAGTTACATTTGGTAACAACAATAATAAAGTATTATTATGACTTTTTGATAAAATTACATTTTCTGCCCTCTACCGTCCTTGAAAAACGAAAAAAAAATAAAAACCACAGAATTAAAAAAAAAACAACTTAAATTGGAATACCCACCAAAAGTTACCTTTAGTTACGGTAGTAAGAAAGTATTATTAAGACTTTTGGATAGAATTACATCCTCTGCCCTCTACAGGCTTTTGAAAAACGAAAAAAAAATTAACAGAAGCCCGGTCCTGGCGGTCTTGGTTTATTTGCGGGGCTGCTGCGATTTTCAGTAATGTAACTGATACAGAAATAGATAATAAATGGCCTTCCACTTCGCATGCCAATATTAATACAGAAATGCAGTGTACACAAATATATTTCAAACTTCCTACCGTGACCAAAGTCTGTTACCGCTATGGACTATCGGCCAGATCTGTAGCAGCTGTGGCAACGGCAGTGCTACACAAACTTGTAATTGTTACCAACAATAACACGAAAAACGTAATAGACAGAAATAAACTAAGAAGAACAAGACAACAATCAAGAAAAGGTTTTATGCAAAATTCCCTCGAAACTTTAAAGGCTATATATTTTGATGGAAGGAAAGATAAAACCTTCGTTATCGAAGATGCTAAAGGTAAGCCCCACAGAAGAACCGCACTCGAAGAGCATGTTTTATTAGTTCAAGAGCCAGGCTCTATATTTTTAGGTCACTCAATACCCATTTCTATATTGCTTTAAGCGTTTGTAAAAGTATTGTCAACTTTTTAGAGAGTTATAGATATAAATCTAGAAGAACTAGGGATAATAGACTGTGACGAAACTGTAGTAAATACGGGGAGAAAAAATGGTGTAATTTCTCAACTAGAGTTAAAATTAAGACGCCTTTCACAAAGAATTGTCTGTCAGCTTCACGCTAATGAATTACTTTCAAGGCATCTTTTAAAAATGCTTGACGGTTAAACTCAAGGTCCAAAAGCGTTTGCAGGAACTATGGGACATCAAATTGTGCAGGCGAAAATGTGCCAGTTATAAACTATAACAATATTGACTGTGAGTTACCAGAATTAGATTTAATTGACTTTAGTGCTGATCAGAAATATTTGTTTCAAATTTATGTCGCAATTTCTACAGGACAATGTTCTGTCGATTTATTAGACCGAAGCGTAGGTCATTCTCGATGGCTCACGTTGGCGAATAGCATTCTACGTTTTTATGTTACTACTAAAAATTTAACATCAGAAATAAAGAAACTGACCAAATTTATTGTCACGGTTGATGCTCCTTTATGGCTTCAGATTAAATGCAACTCATCTTTTATAAATGGTGCAAAGTATGTTTTACAAACAATAAAATGTAGTCAAAATCTCAGATGACTATATTGATCTGATTAATTGGAAAAACAATAAAATAATGCTCTTGCACTCCATTGCTTCAAAGTTTGAAAGTAGAGGACATAGATAAATAATATAAGAGTATGTATTTGAAACATATTATTTCTGGTTCTCCTGACAACATTTTCGACATCGCTATATTTTCCTGTCACACCCAATCTGTAGAAAGATTCGTGAAGCTCGTAACTGGAAGCATTTTCATTGGTTGTTTGGTAAAAAAAGAGACAGTTTTATCAAGGCCAAAATTAATTAAAAGGGAGGATAGGAAGTATGTAGAAAAATAAAAATGACATATTTCATACACATTTAAATTGGATGTTATTTTTATAATAATATCATGTACGTATTACTTAACTTTTCAATTAAAATAAGTTTTACTTTTTATTTTTTCAACCCCCAGTAGAGGGCAGAAGATGAAGATTGTTTGAAAAATCGCAAATAAAGATTAGGTTTATAATACCAATTGACAACTTTTGCGCACTATTCCAAAACAGTTTTTTCGAACCACCCGAATGATTATGTCCTACTACTCGCCAAGCCTTGGACCTGTACAAGTATAATGAAAAACCTCTATTTCCAGCATAATAAGTTATTAGCTCTAATTGGCTCTAATTCCAGCATAATAAGTTATTAAGAATACAATTCAACTCTAATTAGCAGCATGTCAAAAAAAAGCCTGCAATGATTAGAAGGTAAGGATGAAATGATCGTTACTAATTATAGATTTAAAATCCACAAAAAAAATAATCCTGTAGTTAGTTATGTAAGATAAATCACAAAAGTTTTAATTAAAAAAATTCTTTAGAAAAAGGTGTACTTATTAAAAAGAACCCTTTCGGATTACATCACAGAACGTTTTCGGAATAAGTATTCCATCATCAGTGCTGCTACTAGGTATACATACATATGTGAATATATGGATAAAAACCCTTTAAATGATATTAAATTGGTTTGTATTATATTGCTGCTGATTATTTTATTGGATATTAAAGTTTTAAACAGAATTACTTCAGGGCAACCTAAAACTCCCAAACTGGGCTTGTTGGCACTGAGCTGTAGTCTCTGTAAGGATCTTAGGTAGCAACTGAGTTGTACTCATTAATAAAATAACAGTTTTCCCATTCATATTTATTTTTCTTAGGTGTGTCCGTTGATTTTTCTTCGTTTTTTGCAACTGAGTTATACACATTAATACATTAACAGTTTTCCCATTCATATTTATTTTTCTCTTAAGTGTGTCCGTTGATTTCTCTTCGTTTTTTTTTGCATCTATTCGTGAACAGCCATTCGTTTGATGTCATCAGTCCATCTGGTTTGAGGTCTGCCTCTACTTCTCTTATTTACTCTTGATCGCTATTCAACAATTCACTTAGCAATATTTTGGATTGCAATTTGATCGTCGTCTTAATATGGCAATACGTATTAGTCGAATGTTTTGCAAAAAAAAACAAACTATAAATACCTATATACAGTTTGTTTTCTGTTTGTTAACTTCTAACAGCTCTATCCTTCAACCCACATAGTTTTTATTTATACGTCTTACATGACCAAATCATTACAGTCTTTGTTCTTGAACCTTTTTTAAGACTGTAGTCACCCCTGCCCTTTCCCTAATCAAGTCGTTTCTGATCCTGTTCCTTCTAGTCTTACTTACTAAACTAACTTAACATCTACCTTGAAATTTTGATTTCAGCTACCTTCATCTTCTTTTCCTGAATCTTCTATATAAGTCACCGCCATACACCAACGCAGGTCTCACCACATTCTTGTATATGTTTCCTTTCAGCCCTTACCCGATATATATATATATATATAATATATATATATATATATATATATTATATATATATATATATATATATATATATAATATATATAATATGTATATATATATATATATATTATATATATATATATATATATATATGTATATATATATATATGTATATATATATATAGTTTGTTTTCTGTTTGTTTATTTCTAACAGCTGTATCCTTCAACCCACATAGTTTTTATTTGTACGTCTTACATGACCAAATCATTACAATCTGTATTCTTAAACCTTTTTTGAGACTGTAGTCACCCCTGCCCTTTCTCTAATCAAGTCGTTTCTGATCCTGTCCCTTCTAGTCTTACTTAACATCTACATTGACATTTTGATTTCAGTTGCCTTCATCTTCTTTTCCCGAA